CTTCCTTGGCTGCACTGCAAGCGTTTTTTCCACGCTCTGGGGGTCACGGCCGATTCTCCTGCCTCAGCATCCCGAGTAGCTGGAGACTACAGGTGCGCCGCCACCATGCCGGCGCTATTGATTTTTTTTTGGTATTTTTAGTAGAGGATGGAGGTTTCACCGTGTTAGCCAGGATGGTCCTCGATCTCCTGACCTTGTGATCTGGCCCGCCTCGGCCTCCCAAAGTGCTGGCGATTACAGGCGTAAGCACTGCGCGGCCGAGCCTGCCCAGGCTAATTTTTTATTGTTCTTTGTAGAGATGGGGCGTTGCTCTGCTCTCAAGGCTGCCCGACTGAGTCTCAAACTCCTGGCTCGAAGCGATCTTCTGCCTTGGGCCTCCAAACAGTGATTGGGATTATTATGTAAGCCCATTTAAATCCTTGATTTGTGTGGAAAGCATCCTGGGCTAAGAGTGTGAGACTATGAATCCAATCTGATTTGTTCCAGGTAGCTACACAGTTTTAATTAACACTTTTATCTTTTATTGAATAATCCACTCCTCCCAACCCCACCCATGGTTTGAAATGTCACGTGTTCCAGGTAGTATTTTTTGGCATACATTTGGGTCTATTTATGGACTTTTTATTCTGTTTCGCTGAAATTTCTATCTCTGTTTGTCAGATTGATATGTCTTAATATTGAGAGGGCTAGTTCCATCCCACTAAGACTTTTCCTTGGTCTTCTTGCTGCTGCTTTTTTCCTATCCACACAAATTTTAGAACTAGCTTGTTTATTTAAAAAAATTCTGTTGGCATTTTATTGAGATTATTTTAACTATATTTTAGGGAGAACTCTGGAATATAACTTTATCAACCTAGCTGGTAACTACTATCCCCAGCATCTGAGAGGCCCAGACAAAAGAGGACCAGCAGGGGACCCACCTGCTCGCTGTCAGGGGTCAGATTGCAGACACAGCTTCAATGACACAACCACAATGTGAGAGCTTAAGACTTTTTAGTACTTTCAGATCCTGGAGGGTACGTGGCCTGCCAAGCCACACACACACACACACACACACACACACACAAACACATTACACACACACACACGCACACACGCACATATGTACCCAGGTCAGAGAGGACAGGCAGAGAAAGACAGAAGAGATCTGTGGGCCAACGTCTTTATTGGGTCCAGTGTGTTATTCAAACAGGTTTCTCTTGAGGAGCTTTAATTGGTTGGTTTGAAGCAAGCAGGTCCAGCCTGGCCAACATGGCGAAAACTTCCCACTCTGCCAACCCCTTCAGACTGAGACTGTCAAATTAAAAAAAAAAAAAGAAAGCAGGCACTAGTTCCAGGAGGTCACACTGTGACTGTGATGTGGTTACTTTCAGTTCTTGGGCGAAATTTTTTTTTTTTTTTGAGATGGAGTTTTGCTCTTGTTGCCCAGGCTGGAGTGTAATGGCGTGATCTTGGTTCACTGCAACCCCCGCCTCTTGGATTCAAGTGATTCTCCTGCCTCAGCCTCCCGAGTAGCTGGGATTACAGGTGTTTGCCACCACACCTGGCTAATTTTTTTTGTATTTTTAGTAGAGACAGGTTTCATTATGTTGGCCAGGCTGGTCTTGAACTCCTGACCTCAGGTGATCCACCTGTCTTGGCCTCCCAAAGTGTTGGGATTACAGGCATGAACCACTGTACCCGGCCTTGGGCAAATGTTTGAATGGTCTGTTTACATGAAGTGGTAGGGGTGCCCAGCTTGCTAGGTGGG